ACATGGAGAATAGTGTGCATGTATGTATAGATACATACATGGGAAGACGGTGTGCATGTGTGTATAGATACATACATGGAGAATAGTGTGCATGTGTATACAGATACATACATGGGGTATTGTGCATGTGTGTATAGATACATACATGGAGAATAGTGTGCATGTGTGTATAGATACATACATGGGAAGATGGTGTGCATGTGTGTATAGATACATACATGGAGAATAGTGTGTATGTCTGTAAAGATACATACATGGGGGATGGTGTGCCTATGTATACATACATACATGGGGGACGTTGTGTCTGTGTATACAGGTACATACATGGGGGACGGTGTGCATATGTGTACAAATACATACATGGGGGACAGTGTGCATGTGGAGGCATAAGGGTGATGTTGGGAGTCACCCTCCATCACTCTTCTACGGTATTCATTGAGGTAGTGTGTCTCAACAAACCCAGAGTTCATCAAAAGAGCAAATCTTGCAAGCCGGCTTGCTCTGGTGGTCCTCTATATCCTCCCTCCAAAGCTGGACTCGTAGGTATACGCCCTGTGCCCACCCGGAGTGTACAAGGGTTTCTCAGGATCCAAACTCCCATCCTCACGCTTTCATGGCAAATACCTAAACACTGAGACTATCTCAGGCCTTAGTTTCCCAGCATGCACTAGGCCTTTGTCACTTATGTCCTATTTTATATTGGTGTCTGATCTTGCCTTTAAAAAAAATTACATTTAATTGTGTGTGTATGTGTGTTATGTGTGTAGTGTGTGTATGTGTGTATGTGTATGTATGTGTGTATGTGTGTATATGTGAGTATATGTGTATGTATATATGTATGTGTGTATGTGTGTATTGTGTGTACGTATGTGTGTGTATGTGGTGTATATATCCATAAACTTAGATTTATTTCTATGTGACTGTATACATATGTGTACACGTGTGCTGTGGCATGCATGTGACAGTCAGAGGATAACTTGCAGAAGTCAGTTCTCTCCTTCTACCATGCGGGTCCCAAGGACTGCACTCATGACGGCAGGCTTGGCGGCAGCCATGTTTAACCCTCTGAGCTGTCTCACAAGCCCCTGATCTTGTGTATGGCAGTGAACAAGAACCAAGGAGAAAAATGTAGGGCTCAGGAAGGTGGGGCTTTGTCCTACCCGGCCTTTCTCCACCTCTCTGGTAGTCATGACAATGACACGGGTGTTCTCCTGCCACGCCATCTGCCAGAAGTCATTGACTGTGGCATCCAGACAGCCCTGGCTGGCGATGTAGGTCTTAGAGTTCTCATCTGGACCTAGCAGCTGGTTCTGGATACAAGCACAGAGAGATCCAACCAAGGACTGTGAATCTCTGGGCATTGGGTGTGCCTGTAACACCTACCATCACCCCCACATAAGATATCAGATCCAACCCCAGAGGCATCGGTACCCCTAGACCCCAAGACACAGGGAGCTCTCAGAGAGCAGCCTCTGTTCCCACAGAGGTCACCCCACTTACCTTTACGTAGTTGGCATTGATGTAGTCAGACCCTGGGATGTTACTGTCACGTCCCTGCAGAATCACTCGGCTGTGGTCAACTGGCATGGATAGAGAAAGAACAGCTTGGGCCACTCCCTGGGGCAGACCCTTCTCAAGCCAACAGATATTCTTGTCTCCAGAGCTACAGACTCATAGAACAGCAAGCCGGGATAAAAGTGTCTAGGGTGGGAGTAGAGGCTTCATGAGCAGGAAAGGCATGGCAGGGAGGGATTACTGCCTGGTAGTTGTTTGGGGGGGACGTGGGGAGTGCTTCCTTGGAGAAGAGAGCTCTGCTGGACAGTGGGGATGGGATGAAGGAGGAGTCTGTGGGAGGCAGTGAGGGCGGGGCCGCTGGTGCTCACAGGGAAGAATGTTCTTGTAACGGTTCTTGCTCTTGTTCTCCGGCCTCTGCCCTTCCTGACGCTGGTGCAAGTTCTTGGCCTCCTGCTTTTGCAGACTCTGAAATGGGAGAGAACTGAGTTCCCTGCCCAAGGGTGCATCCGGGATCCACAGGCAAAGAGGCCATAGGTGAGAGGCATGGAAAGACGGCAAGGTAGCCTCATCCATCCCAGCCCTGCTGTCCCCAGCACACACCTCAAACTCCTCCCAGAAGCCAGCCTTGGCTGTGTCCTCTGACTCCTTTTTCTTGTTCAGTTCCAAGACCCTGTTCTCAATGTCTGCTGCATTCACCCGAGTAGCGTAGTAAGGCTGGAGTGAGGGACAGCGAGAAGTCAGTGGCTGAGAAACACATCTCTGATGGCTCAGGAGAAGAGGCAAGCAGGTTGGCCCCTCACCTGCCGCAGGTAGACAAAGGCACCTGAAGCCTCCTCAATCCCCGTCTTCTTGAAGTGCTCCACCAGGTCTGTGAGGCTATCAAATGTCTCTGAGCCGCCCACAGTATAGCGTCCACCCTGAAGGACACCAAGTAGGGCCACCCCTCAGGGCTGAGTCCCCCACCTGGAACTCCCCCCCTCCCCCAGTCTTAAATCTAATCCACTGATGCTCCAGCATGAGGCCTTCCCCACAGCCTGGCTGACTCACCTCACACATAACCTTGATGTGAGTGACCTTGAGCGGGGAACCAGGGCCAGCCTTGGGCTGGTCATTGAGCACAGAGAGCACAAAATCACCAGGTTGGCTGAGACTCTCACGCACAAGAAATGTCCAGGGCTCGCCCTTGGCCTGCAGCAGTGACTCTGCCTGCCCTCCAGACATGTGGCCATGGTACCACCTAGAGAAAGTACATCACAGAGATGGGATCCAGGTTCCAGACTGAGCACAGAGGCCTGCTACCTGCCAGGCTTGAGCTACAAGCCAGCAAACCCACCACTACATTCAGATCCGTTACTAACTCGGAAAATGCTGCGAGGAAAAAGCCAGACCTTATGCTATAATCCCAGCTTGGAGCTAGAATTCCAGCTCCTCAAGAGACATGAGGATGGTAGTAAATTTATGGCCAGCATAATCTACACAAGCATATCTTTAAGGCGAACCTTCTTCTACCAATACATAAATGAATGAATGAATAGCTCAGAATGACAGCTCACTTTTATAATCCCAGCATTCAGTAGGCTGAGCAGAAGAACTGTCTCAATGAGGCCAGCCTGCTCTACATGTTAAGTTTCAGGCCAGCCTGAGCTACACAGTAGGACCCTATCTCAAAAACAAAACAAACAGCCAGGCCTGATGATATATACCTCTAATTACAGCCCTGGGTTGGCAGAAGCAAGAGGATAACTGTAAGGTTGAGGCTAGCCTGGTCTACATAGTGAATTCCAAGCCAGCATGAGCTACAGGATGTCTTAAAAAAAAAAAAAAAGTTTCTATCTCCAAAAAAGAAAGGAAGGGCTGAGCTGGGCGGTGGTGGCGCACACCTTTAATCCCAGCACTTGGGAGGCAGAGGCAGGTGGATTTCTGAGTTCGAGGCCAACCTGGTCTACAGAGTGAGTTCCAGGACAGCCAGGGCTACACAGAGAAACCCTGTCTCGAAAAACCAAAAAAAAAAAAAAAAAAGAAAGGAAGGGATGGAGGGAGGGAAGGACAGACAGACAGATAAGAAAACAGACAGAAAACAGGTCCTGTGAGATGGCTCAGAGTGTAAAAATATTTACTGCTAAGCTCACCACCTAAATTCAACCTCTAGGACCCACATGGAGGAGGGAGAGAACCAGCTCTGGCCAGTTGTCCTCTGATCTCTACATGCCTTGCTATGGCACACAAGAAAATGTAACAAATTCTTTTTAAACAAAGAAATAAAACAAAAGCAGAGAGATTGCCATTTTCTCTACTTTACAATAAGAGAAAAGAGGCCAAGCACTTGCACACTGGTCCTAGGTCCTAGATCAGTCAGAGACATCCTCCACAGAGTTCTAACCATGGAGATGGAGGCTATGTCACAGCAGGACATGGGTTCTATCCCCAGGACCAAGATAAACAGAAAGGAAAGAAGGAAGGAAGGAAGGAAGGAAGGAAGGAAGGAAGGAAGGAAGGAAGGAAGGAAGGAAGGAAGGAAGGAAGGGACTCTACTAAAACCTAAATAAAGCTTCTCTTCACTGTTCATGAGAAACAGAAAGGCAGTATACAAAATATTTGGAGGGACAAAATGAAGTGTCCCCATGAAACAGACTCCAACTGAGTTAAAAGGAGGGACAGAAAAATGCAGATGGACCCAAATCACAGAAGGCAGTGGGTGCCAGAGGAGACAGAAGTCCAGAAGGACTGACAGGAAACACACTTGGGAGAGGAGGAGGCACAAACATTCCACTGAGGAGGATTCCACTGAGGGTTCCAGGGGTTCAGAGGGGCTCTGAGGAGCTCCGAGGGGAGTATGGCAGAAAGCAGAACTAAGGATCTTTCCGTGAGGCACCCTCTTCCCAGGGGGAAACTGTAGCCCCACAATGCCTAGCCTCACAGGAAACCACGTGATGGAAAAAACACAAAACTCCTTCTGGGGAGAGAGTGAGAAGTGAGGTTGTGAGGTTTCTTCAGCTCAGGGAGGAGGGGGGGGCAGCATTTTCCAACCGCAAGGATGGGGAGGGGGTGGAGCGGGGCTCAGTCCTCTTGGTCTGTCTCAACTCTGTCCAGAGGACACCATAGCTCAAGGCCCTTCAGAGGCTCCTACCTCAACCCAGGCCTCCTGGGCCATCTTAGCCCACCTCAGGGACAGGCCAGAGACCCCAAGCAATGTGAGGGGGCTCAGCTCCTTCCCTCAGGGACAGGATGAGGAAGTCTCCATGCAAATGTGAACAGACCAGAGGCAAAGAGTTCACTATTGAGGGGACAAATGCAAATTTCCCAGAAGAGGAGGGGCAAGCACAGAAGGGCTGTTGGGTCATGGCTTCTACACACTAAGGTTAGGGATAAGACCGAGCTTCCCCGATGTTCATCCAAAGTGTCTCTTGGAATCCTCTTCAGCCCTACTGGAGAGTACCACCTATGGTGTGTCCAGTGCTTCCCCACTGCCCTGGCCTGGTCTCCTAACACCTGTTTAGTTCCCACCTTCTCCCCCATCCCAGGGAACACACCAGCCACCACTCTGCTGTACCTCCATGGTCTATCCCCTCTAGCAGGGCACGTATTCTGGCTTGGGACAGCAACGAAGAGAAAACAAGGAGCTAAAAGAGAATCTGAGAGGCCAAACCACCCTGAGGGTTGCAGGTAGGAGAGGGGAGAAGAGACAACCTGGGGCGTGCCCTCCCTTCCCATTCACCAGCAGAAGAGGAAAGCCTTCAAGGGAGTGTCCCCCAACTTCTTTGTGATGGCTGGCAAGGGGTGAACGCAGGGCTTGTACCCCATTCTTTCATGGTCTATATTTTTGTAGATGCCACGTGGTGGTGGTTTGTTTTCGTGTGTGTGTGTGTGTGGGGGGGGGGGGGGGGGGTTTTGTTTGTTTGGTTGGTTGGTTGGTTGGGTGAATTGGGTTGAGTTGGAATTTTGTTGTTGTTGTTGATGTTAATGTTTTGTTTTGGGGTTTTCGTTTCTCAAGATAAAGAGTTTCTCTGTGGAGCCCTGGCTGTGCTGGAACTTACTTGGTAGACCAGGCTAGCCTTGAACTTCCAGACATCCACTTTCCCCTGCCTCTTTTGAGTGCTGGGATGAACAGCCTATGGTACTACCTCCACTCTGCTTGTTTTAGTTTTTTAAGTCAGAGTCTCCTGTAGCCCAGGCTGGCCTCAAACTTGCTGTGTGACTGAAGATGAACTTGACCTTCTTCTGGTCTTCTTGCCTCCACCTGGGCTTACAGGCATGTGTCACCCACACCAGGTTTATGCATTACAGGGAATCGAATCTAGCATTTAATGCATGGCAGGAAATCACTCAGCAACTGAGCCACAGCCCATAGACCTCCAGTCCTAAGTTTCAATCAGTAACTTGTGAACAAAACTATTAAGCTAAGTTTGTAGGCATGAATCTCAAAACAGACTTAAAAAAACGCAGTGGCAAAGCATGCATTCAACACGGGCAAGGCCCTGGGTTCACGCCCCAGCAGAGGAGTGAGGGTGTGGGAGATTGAGTTTGGACTCATTTCAACAATAAATATACAAACACAGGAAGGAACAATGGCCCCAGAACCTAGAAGAAAACCCTAGAGTTAACAGGAGCTGTCAGTCAGTCACTATGCTATACAGCTAAGATGGGCCCCAGTGTACTGAGAGACATTTATTTATCTCCCTGTCTCTCCCCTTGACCACGCTCTGAGAACACACAAGAACAGCCAGCCCAGCTATGGGGGCCGTGTCTTTGCAGCACTGGTGGGAGATGTCCCGAGGGTTTCCTTGAGTCGGGTAAGCCTGGGCTTCTCTACACCTGTGACCACATCAGTGACCTTGCTTGCACCAAGCTCTGTCCCCACCCAACCTGACTATCCCAGTCACAGTGGACCTCAAAGACCTTATTAAGACAGGGACCTAGAGCACCAGACTGAAGAGCTGGAAGAAGGCACTAGAGTTCCATGGAAGGAAGAGCTTTCTAGTAATAGGGCCAACCTGATGAGAAACACCAGCGACAAGCCTCTGTTACTCTCAGGACGAGGTTGCTAGGCAGCAGGAACCCTTGCAGGAAGGCAAGGGGAACCCGTCTCTGGCTTCCTTAGGGGACAGGGGATAGGTTAGATACGGGAGTTCTCGGGCTACAGAGGGAAGAGGCTCAGCACTGAGAGAACAGGTGTGGAAGACCAGGGATGAGGAACGAACTATGAGCAGAAGGACACCTGGGTGAACGCCCCTTTATCTCAAAGGACAGGGCCAGCCTGCAGTGCCCCTCACCTCTCACTGGTGGGGTCTGAGCAGTTCAGCGGGTACTTGAGGTGGATGATGGTGCCGTCTCGATCCTGCAGGATGCCCTGCTGCTGAGTGTAATACTCCACCAGCTCTGTCAACGTCGCAAACTTCTCCCCTCCGTACAGGTCATAGAAGTCCCCCGAGTTCTGGATCCGAATATGGGTCACCTGGTCATCCACCCTGGAAGGCACCAGGCAGTAAGTCCCCAGGGACACGAGCAGCAGCAGGGTGGGCGTGAGGGACAGAGGTCTCAATGCAAGAACACAGAGGCATGGAGTGGGCACAGATAGTCGCAGGCACATGCTAGGGCTACAGGCAGGGACACAAGGGGAGAAATGTAACACAAGGAGACAACACAACCTGGGGAACCCAAGAATGCTCAGGACCCACACAATGAACTGCCGGGGTGCAGGGAGGGCCACCCACCTGACTGAGAGAGAGAAGTCACCCTGGTTCTTGCGACTGGGCCGAGCCAGGAAGCTCCCAGGGACTCCCCGGCCCTTGAGCAGGGTCTCAGCATCAGGCCCACTGAGGTCCCGGTGAAACCACCTAAAGATGCACAGGGCAGTGAGGGAATATCCTGTGGGCTCCAGGCCACCCTTCTTTCCTATCTTCCATGGGTTCCAGGCCCTTACCTCACCATCCTGGGGCTCTTGCTGAATTGGCTGCAGAAAATGTGGAGGGAACAGTCTGTCTGGGCAGGCTCCTACAAACTCTAGAGCTGAGCCTCAGGCAAGGCTCTCAGAGCCCAGTCCTCCAAAGCCAACCTGCTGTCCTGCTCCCGGGCTACCACTCTACTGGCCTGGGGCAGCCAGCAGGGCGGAGACAGGAAGGGGCGCGGCCGACCCCTTAGGGGAACTCACTTGTACTTCTCTTTTCAGAGCAAGGGAAGAGGAGCTGACGGGGTGGCTGGGTGGGGGAGGGCCCACTTCCCACAGTCTGCCATCAAAGGCACAGGAGCATGGCACTAAACACTCATGACTCAAGAGGTAAGGACACACGTGTGAGCCCCTTGGTCCCTCCAGGTCAAGAGTCACTCACAGTGGATATCCATATTATCAGGTCAACCCTTCCTCCTCCAGCAGCTGCTTCTAGTCAGAACTCTTAGGCACAGTCTAATAACGATCCAGTGCAGTGACACTGTCATTTAATGGAGTGTCACAGCACGCCAGACTGATTGCTACAAATGTCATTTACACGCCTCCTGTGAGTTACAGGCCACCACAGCCCCATTACACAGGCACTATCTTTATCCCCACTTTACAGACAAGGAAACTGAGGCTGAGAAGTTTGAGGAATTGCCCCAGGTCTTACCCTAAATGAGTTGCTGGATTCAGACCTAAATAGTTTCAAAGCCAATGATTTTTGAGTTCTGTTTGCCAGCCCTCAGGACCCAAAGAACAGTAGTCAGTAGACTCCTTGTCCAAAGGAGATGCTGTCATTACAGCTGAGAGCCCCCACCAAGCAGCATGCAGCCCTGTCCTGTCATCACAGGCCTAGGCCTCTTTCCTATACCTTGATGTTGAGCAGGGAGGGGTGGAGAGGGAAGATATCTCCTAGAGGTTAGGGTTTATGTTCACGGTCCCAACAACGGCAGGTGCTCACAGGAATGGTAACCTTTAGGAGCTCTCAGACTTAAGACTTATGGTGCCCCATGTATGAAATCCCCAGTATAAATACAAAAAGAAAATGCAAACACTACCAAACCAAGACCTGGGGGAAAACAAGCTGCCCAATAGAAGATTCCAGAAACTCCTATTGGTGTCTTCCTTAGGGAGGGACACAGGCCGCTGGAGAACGGAGCCGGGACAGAGCACCTTCCGTCCTTTAGGGGGTTTTTGTTTGAGGTGTTTTGATTGGTTAGTTTTAGTATTTTTTGTAATACTGAAATTAGAACCCCAGTCCTAGCTGGGTATGACAAAACATGCCATTAATCCCAGCACTTGGGAGGCACAAGCAGACAGCTCTCTGTGAGTTTGAGGCTAACCTGGTCTATACAGTGAGTTCCAGGAACGTCCCAGTGCTATATAGTTGAGACCCTGCTTAAAAACAAAAGCAAAAACAAAAACAAACAAACAAACAAACAAAAAACCCAGACCTTCAATCCCTTAAACATGGATGGGCAAGCATCCTTGGGCAAGCATCCTTGATATACATTCTCCACCCCGTTTGTTTTTTTTTTTTTTTCATCCTTGGGCAAGCATCCTTGATATACATTCTCCACCCTGTTTGGTTTTTTTTTTTCTTATTCATTTGATTCCCTTCAAATTTCTGCAGTCCTAGGGATACACCCCCCAGTTGTTTCTCTTTTTACTTTTTTGAGATGGGGTCTTTACTAAATTGCCCAGGCTAATCTGGAACTCACTGTGTAGCCTTGGATTAGTAATCTTCCTGCCTCCACCTCTCCAGTGGCTGGAGCTAGAGGCACTTGCCACCACGTCTGACTCCCTTACACCTTTTTAAAACTGCTTGATACCCAAGGTGTATGTAGCTCCGTGGTTTTAACATAAGGCCCTGGATTCTCTCTCTGCACCAAGCCCAGGAATTTCATGAGTATATAGTGTATAGTTAGTTGTATGCATAATATTTATTCACAGTATGTATATGTTACATCTCAAAATATAGGGAAAATAGGAGACTATGAAAACCAAACAGGGTAAATAAACCCCTTCCCGTGGGGAGGGGGGGAAACAAACAGGGCTGGAGTGTGACTGAGCAAAGCACTTGCTTAGCACGTGGGAAACCCTGGCCTTCACCCCCAACAGACTTGCTGGATGCAGCAGCACACATCTGTAATTCCAGCACATGGAAGACAGAGGTAAGAGGATAAAAACAAGCCTGAAGCCAGCCTGGGCTCCTGAAGCCAGCCTGGGCTACATAGCAAGACCCTGGGGAGTTTTGTTTTGTCTTGTTTGATTTAACAGTCTATGACAAGCACTTTATCATAACTGAAAACATCAAATATCACTTAACCTTCCTGCCTCCCTCCCTCCCACTCTCCTTTTAGGCTTTCTCTTCTTGCTAATACCCCTGAAAATATGCATGCTTGGGTCCTACACTAAGCAAGATCCAGAACTCCTATAGACTCAGCTCATCCTAAGGGTCAGGAAGACCACATACAAAGCTAGTTCCAGCAAAGGGAGATCCTCCAGCATCCTGACTTGCCACCATCCCAGTCTTCAGGGTCCAATCCAAAGCTGTATCTAGCAAGTCAAAAGGCTCATGATTTCACTCAAACAGACATGAGCACAAGTATATATGCCTCCTGTCTGCCCTGAATGCCGTGTGCTCTCTGCCAATGACGTATAGAAGTACAACTCACACGTACCCCACCATCTGTGTCCACCCATATCCATCCCTTGCTGGGGCAGATCCCCAACACAACAGGCACTCAGGAAGATCCATACTGCTTGGCACCATACTGACTGCACCAGTACTAAGACTCTCATTCCAGAATTAAGCCCACTTCGTGGGAAGGCACTCACGAGGCCCTTAATAATCCTGACCCTTGATGTGTATCTAAAGGATGTCAAGCCAGAAAATGAGGTGCTCTGATAAGATGGAACACCCATCTTGTCCTCTGGCAGGAAAATAATGACAGTCTTCCAAGAAGCAAGGCACAGAGCCTTGGAGTTAGTGGAGCATTAGGACAATATAAGTAACTACCCCATTGGAACCTTTGACTGCCCTATGATGTTGGGATTTTGTCTTTGTTTTAAGCAGACTCAAGGAAGCTGACAGTCCTAAACATAAATGCCTGGTATCTAGAAGAGAAAGAGATTCCTTTGGGAAGCAAGAGATAAAAGAACAAACACGTCAAGATCAATGGTGATGCAGGGAAGAGAGGCCCTAAGTGTCTGCCAAGGACAAAACACAGCCACTGTATGGTTAGACTTCTCTGAACCTTGGTATTTCCACCTGATAAATGAACTTCACAAGGTTTCCTAAATTCAGACCTAAAAAGCCAATAAAGCAGCCAGGTGTGATGGCTCGTGCCTATAACCCCAGTATTCAGGAGGCTGAAGCCTGGGACAGAGAGCCAAACGGGATGGTACATGCCTGCCCTTGAGAGGTCTTCCTCGCCTACATCACTGCTAAGTGCTATGGCTTCGTGTCATCAGCTTCAACATCTTACCGTGAGGTCTGTCTTCTGATTTTGCATTTGCAGGTTCAGCCAGCTATAGACAGAAGGTATGCTTCTACTGGACAGGCGCAGACCCTTTTCCCTCACCACAATTTCCTCAATAACACAATATAATGATTTTCATAGCATTTGCATTGTAGTAGGTATTCGGAGATGATAAAATATGCAGTAGTACAGGTGTAGGTTACATGCAAATACATTTGTGTAGTTTGGTATCTTCTGGTCGCTCTAGAATCAACCCTCCATAGAAACAGGCAGATGCCTGTTTTCTTTCTCTGTGTAGCCTCAGCTATCTTGGGACTCATGCTGTAGATCAGGTTAGCCTCAAAGTTAGAGATCTGCCTGCCTCTGCCTCCTAAATTCTGGGATTACAGGTGTGTGCCACCACTGCCCAGCCAACTCGGGGTTTTATGCCTGCTAAGCAATAACCCTAATCTTTGTTTTTATTATTTATTTAGACAGGGTCTTGCTGTATGTGGCCTGGGCTAGCCTCAAACTCAAGATCCTCCTACCTCAGCCTCTCTCCTGTTGTCTTATACCACTCTTTCCAGCTAAGACAACTATATCATTGTTATTGTATCATGACAATACTGGTTACTTGTTACTATCCCAATTTTAGAAACAAAAGTGAAAACTGAAGATTGTTCAGTAACTTGCCCACAGTCACGAGGTAGTGGGAAGGTGAAAAAAAAAACAAAAAAACAAAGCTGTCTGGGGCCAGAGATCTGTCTGCCACAGCATTGCACCAGCAGGCTTTAAGGAGATGCCTGGCACAGCAAAGCATGCTGGGAGAGGGAGATGGAGGATATAGGTCACCCACACAGATGGACCAGGACACAGAGATGGCATGGAAAACATGCACTTGAGTTGCTCAGTATGAACAGATCAAAGCAGCTGAACCAATGTATGCAAAGGGCTGGGCCCCCAAAGCAGAGGTCTTGCAAGTCCAGGTTAAAGAACCAAGAAAGAAGGGCTGGAGAGATGGCTCAGTGGTTAAGAGCTCTGACCGCTCTTCCAAAGGTCCTGAGTTCAATTCCCAGCAACCACATGGTGGCTCACTACCATCTGTAATGGGGTCCGATGCCCTCTTCTGGTGTGTCTGAAGACAGCTACAGTGTACTCACATACATTAAATTAATTAACCAGAAAGTCAGCCAGTTACGTCTCCAGAATACATCACTTGTTGGCAGCTTAAGCTGCTTTACCTGCGTGTTAGTTAATGTTTCAGCCGTCTGAAATAATCCTAGTTATCACCCATGTATCCATTCTGTCATCTCTGACTGGGATGGCAGCTCTCTAAACAGAGATCATTGCTTCATACAGCTTCGTATTACCAACATCTTAATCAGTACCTGTCCACTGTGTCTGATCACCTTTGGGGAACGGTGAAGGAGCCAAGCTGTGTGTGTGGGGAGGGGTTGCCTAGGAATGGAAGAGCAAATGTGCCTTCAGACTGTCGTGTCTGAGGTGATGTAAACTCCCCAAGAGGGAAACATCTAGATCCTAGGTAAGAGGCAGAAGCAGAGGACCACAGTCCAGTGGTTAAAAATTAGAGCCGGGCGGTGGTGGCACACGCCTTTAATCCCAGCACTTGGGAGGCAGAGGCAGGCGGATTTCTGAGTTTGAGGACAGCCTGGTCTACAGAGTGAGTTCCAGGAC